AAATAAATACTCCTAAAACCAGTAAAAAAGATTAACTCATTAAAGAAATATGAACAAATAGGTCCAATACATGGGAACCAACAACAGAAGAGAACCCCATTCCAGCTGGATACATCCCGGACAGGCCCCCAATCCAGCAGGCCAGCTTGGTCAAAGCTTCATGTGATGGCCAAACCTTGGGCCACACTCCATTAGAGTTGGTACCTCCCTCATGCCCTGTTTATTTAAATACAACACCAATTTAGTTTGCAATAAAATACTTCTGGGTTGGTTTAAATATATTTATTCTATTTGTAAGAGCACACATTTAGTTTATGTATTTCTCTCAACCCATGGTTCGGTGATGTTTTTGCTCATGATTAATTCTTCTTTTATTTTTATACCTAAACTTTGTGCAGCTGCTTTGTTCACATTTTTGCCTGAGTTCAGTTTTTTCTTTGATCTTTTATGAGCCAAGCAGTTTGTAATTTTATTTTTTTGGCTCAATTAAAAGAACTTTTTAAATTATAATTCCTGTGACTCCTTCTGTTTTCAACCTGGTCCCCCACACTTCAACACACATTAGCAGGAAAAAGAAAAAATATAATTAAGAACATTTATCTTGAAAGAAGTATCCCTCGATTTGAGCAGGTAGGTTAGATAATTTACCAATGGAATTAGATTATTTATGTTAAAAATAATAATCCATCAATTTATATTTAATCTAGAACGACTGTAGCGGCTAAAATCCTATATTTTAAGCTACTGGTTGCTATCTCTGAAAGGCGTTGTTTTACGTGCGCTCAATTAAGATTATCATGCAGATTTATTAACATAAAAATGCCCATAGTTTTACTAATTGCCTTTACATAAATACATAAGTAGGGCATTAAACCAAACACAGTAGAAAACTGTTGCCTCCTCTCATTAACAACACCTGAACAGAATCAGGGTTGACCTTAAATAACCCCATCCCCCATCAGACAATCAGAGCTCAAAATGAAATACGCCCCCTGGTGGCGATAAATACAGGAAAAGGCAAATGGCTCCTACAACCACCAATGGTCAAACGTTAAAGACTTTAAAAATGTTTTACATTTATTTTGAACATTTAAACACCCAATTAAATGTCTCAACAGAAAGTAGAAGCTACATGCTAACTATCCTGAGCATTATTTTAGGGCTATAATGGAACAGGAAGGTTTTCATTCAACCGGCTTTATCAGGGTTTCTCCCACAGGACAGAGATGCTACAGGAGCTCATGGAAACATCTAAAGCCTTCATGGATAAATCTGGCAGAAATGAAAACTACAGTTTGAGACTTGGACTCGAGAATGAAGCCTGCAGGTGACTTGGAGAAATGACTGGTGAGGACCTGTGCAGGTTCTTTTCTCCACAGCAGTTCACCTTCTGACCTGGTGGGATTCTTCATCTGCAGGGCAAAGTTTCAGCTCTTTGTTTTCCTCCTGCTTCACGCTTCACATCCTGAACGGCTCTGGTCTGATCTCTAAGGGTTTCCTCTCGCCCTGAGCTCCACCACCAGGAGGCAAACAGCAGAAGCCAAGGCGGCTGTCAACAGGGCCTTCTTCTTTCTGGGTGCCTCCTTTCACAGCAGGAACTGATAACTGTCATCAGGTAAACTTTAGAGGTCCCCCCCCACCTCCAACTCTCTTCTACGATCAAATCTAAAAAACACAAATTAGCAGGAAAAAGACAAACATCCGGCAGTTTCTGTTTTTTTATTTATGTTCAGCAAAGTCATGAAAATGTAAAGGGCTGCAGGAGCTTTTCTGCAGAACACAACCAGCTTCATGCATTCATCTCTCATTTTCAGTGCAATTTATTTCCTGAATGATTTAAATGCTTTCTAAGCAAAGCTGAATAAAACATGGATTAATGAAATGAATCTTGGTGAAGATAGAGAGCGAAGGTTCCCAGTTTCTTCTCAGACGAATGGGTTCTGCACTGGTTTGCTCTCCTTCTCGCTGACTGGGTTCACTGCTTTGCAGGTGAAGGTTCTAAAGCGTCGAGTTTCCTCCGTGTTTTCAACGGCGATCATCCTCTCTCCCTCCTCCCACGGTCCGGCTTCTCCTTTCTTCCAGAAGTACTGGACGGGTCCGGCACCGTTAAATTCTTCACCACACCTAAAACCACACGTCGCTGTGACTTCAACATGGTGATCATCGAGGTTCTGGATCCACTGAGCTTTAAAGGCGTCAGGAAGAACCTTGTTGTTCATCTCCACATTGAACACTCCTTGGTCTGCTGGCGTCATGTTCCTCACAGTCAGTACCCCAGTTTCCAGGTTCAGGTCTAACCGACCTTTCAGGTCACCCAGATATTCCAGATCAACAGCATCTTTAATCCATTCAGCTGCTATGTACCCTTCATGCTTCCAGGTGATGCTGGTTATCGCACTAGAGACTGAAGGCCTCAGAACCAGAGAATCTCCAGTCTTAAAGTATTTAATCTGGACCTGAGCAGCGGCCAGATGAACCATCAGGAGCAGAACAGCGATGATTACCTTCATATTCTCTTCTTAGAGATGATCTACAGGGGAGAAACTGTTAGAACAGATGCTATGGAGCGTCCACCTCCTGACAGTCTGATTGCTTTCTGGTCCCTTTACGGTCAAAGACCCCTCACCCACTGGGTCCAATCCCTGCAACTGTTGGGTCTGTTACAAGCAAGCCCTCTGATTGGCTGCACCTCAGCTTAGATGGTGCAACAGCTGATTTTCTGGTCATTTATTTATAATCTTTAACATTTAGGTCTGATAAGATCTAAAATGCTGGACTTGGTCCACAGTAGAGCAGAAGTTATAAGGATTAAGGTCCAGAGATCAGACGGGCCGCTCCGTGGTTCCAACAGGAACGCTGTGAGGCTGTGTTCTGTCAGCTCAGCATACACTGGAAAAAACATCTAGAATTAAGGACATATTCCTTAATTTAGTTGTTTTTACCCTTAATTTAAGTAGGTAAATGAGATGATTCTTTCCCCAACATTATCTTTATTAGTTTTAAACTATTTTTCACTAATAGTCAGGACATCAGTGTGCTCTCACATCAAAGGAAAAGTCCAGGGTAGTTAAATGATTATCCAGCGTTCGACTCGTCTTTCCAGAGTTTTTTAGAGCAGCAGCTATGACACACAGAGTTTATGAGGAAATACAAACAAATAAATAAAAAAAGAACAAAAAAAAAACAAAACACAATGCCCCCAAACCCCCCTGAGAAGAAACAACAGTTACAATAATAACGGTTTCCCAGAAATTAGCCCATATTATTTCAGTATTGTACGTGGTTCAGAAAATACAAACTCGAATATATAATCCAAAGTCGTCAATTATACAAATGAAGATTATCTTAGGACACCGCAGGGGATCAACTACAACTAGAACTCATCCCCGACACCCGTCACATCCAAAAATGTGGAAGAGGACGCTTGGTTTGGTGTAGAAGGCTTCCAGCCGTACATGTTTGAGCCCTTGCCTCGCAACGCTGCCAGTTCTGTTAGCTCTA